TCCCTGAAGACTCATAGATTTACCCAGAAGTTTGATTCTGTTCTTCTGGATATAATTTTTTTAGTAAGAGAAATATTTAGTCACTCATCCAAGTGACTTCTTCAGTCTTGGATCAGTGATGAAATGTTTCTCCCAGTGAAAACGCTGCATCCAGATGAACAGAATTCACTTTTTGGGATGTCCTTACCTGGATGATTGAGCATGCATCAACACACTTATAGATTGTTTTCCTTGTTTTTCAGCCTGCATTATTCTGTAGTATGTTTAAGTTCAGCAATAAAACTGCCTTTTAGTTTACCTCCCTTGTTTCCAACTCCTGCATTTTGGGTCTGACTCTGCCTGCCTCACAGTCAACACTGACATGTTTTTTGTTTTTTGGACAGGAGAATTAAATACTATTCCACATAAATTTTTTGTGATCTTAAGTTGACATAACCTTCTGTCATTATATTAAATTGTCTCTATATAGTGTCATGCACGCAATTCTGACACCAGTGTTGTTGTTGTTAATTTTTTAATTCTATTTTTTAATTGTTTTCTTTTAGGTCTCCAACATGTGTTTATGCTGCATGGAAAGGACTTACACTTGGATACAGAGAAACATGTTAAACTTGAGGAAAACACAGATTTGTTCTGGAAATTTAATTCCAGTACCAATATAGGTAAATGTGTTTTTAATAAAGATCCAGTAGTGTTTAACAAATATCCAGGAAAGGCTGAGTTGTTTGGATCAAATTGCTCTTTGATATTAAAGAAAGTACAACACAGTGGCAGTGGAGATTATAAAGCAGTTGTAGTTGGGGGACGAGACCAGACTGTGGCTGAATACAAGGTCATAGTTCAAGGTAGGTTTCTATTTTCATTATTATTTTGAAATGTTCATACATCATAGGCCTGTTTTAAATACTTTTACACTCATTGTTCCGCAGATCCAGTGACTCCTGCTGACCTGGCAGTGGACCCTGTGTCCAACAGCTCAGACTCCTGTAACCTGACTGTGACCTGCAGCACAGTGGACTTTAACATCCGCAGTAGTTTTAGATGTGATGGTAAAAGCTGCTCTCATGCAGGAGAAAAGGATTTGAAAGCCACAAAAGTGTTTTCCTCTCTAATTGTTTACCTGCATCAAGACACCATTTACTGTAATCACAGCAACCAAGTGAGCTGGAACGTGACTGAGAAGGTGCTCAAATCTTACTGTGAAGCAGAGACAGGTGAGAATAAAGGTCATAGTAATACATGAAAAACTGAAATAACCACGTTTTAAAGGCCTTGCTGTGTGGTGTTTGCATGTTCTCCCCATGTCTAACTACATGTCCAAAAACATGTAGTTTGTGGGGTTAACTCAACTGATGATTGAATGTAGGTGTGAACTGACCACCGACTGTGAATGGTTGTCAAAAAA